AAATCAGTTATCGTTGACAGCAGGACGTAGGGGGCAGAAAGGAAGAGAATGATATTCATTAAAAAAAGAAAAAAGAAAAAAAGAATGAAGAAACATTTAAAATACTAAAAATCTCTTTAATTAATTTAAATATTAAAAATTGATATTATTGATTAAAATTGAGATAAACATTAAATATAATATAGAAAATTCTAATTGGTCAATGGAGGCCAGGAGAGAGGATATTTCTGTACAAGTGTCACGCAAAGCATCCCATTTTCCTGGGATATTTGTCCGAAACAAACAGGAAAATTCAACAATGTGCGTGGTGTATCCATGCGCCCAAAATATCAGCCATTGTATGAGTAAGCGGAGATGAGGATTAAATCCACACAATTGAATGCTGGTAACCTGTTAAAAGGGTTGGTGTAGGTAAAAGTGAATAAAATAAAAATTAAACAGAAAAAGAAAAAGAAAACAAGAAAAGAAAAACAAAACGACAGAAGGGGAGAAGGGAATAGAAGATCATGAACTGCTACTGAGGCAATCCCACCAACGGCACTCTCTCTTTCATCTCTCCCTCTCTTCTCCTACATGTGAATCACTTGATTCTGGAGATGAATTGAGAAGATCTTAAATCTCGGTGGCTGGGCATTTTGTGTGGTTCACAAAAAACCAGTGGAAACGAGTTGCTGTTGCTGAAACGTATTTAAGTGGCCATTGCAAAGGTAAAATTAATAGCTTTATTATCCTTGTCCACACTTGAGTTCCCAAAGACCAGCAATATAACATTTTGCTATATTGATCTGCTCAAAGAAAACCAGCTATTTCTACGGGTAATTTTCCCTCTATGAAATCAAGTAATTATGTTATGAAAAGAAAACCTGAAAAACTAAGCAGAAATTAATGCAGCCCCAGGAAGCAACTAAGCAGAAGTAAATGGGTTTTTGATTTGCTGAAAAGAAAACCATTGTAATTTGAGTTAATTCACAGACAAGAAACACAATATGATCAATGTCAATATCTTTCTCTTCTTTAATGTTGGGCATATTGTTGATGTTGAAAAATTTGTGACTCATTCGAAAAACATTAGATAGAATTTATTAATTGTAATGCAAATGCCATGATATTTGTAGCCTTGCATTTTGGTAAAGGAAATGTAAGAGGTACTTCAATATGTCATTTTGAATCCAATTACCAATTGGTTAGTCCTATTTTGCAATTATTGTATCCACATTGCCATGTTATTGGTAGCCGCTTACATTTTGAGAACATATGTGATTTGTGAATGCAATTGACAAACAATTACTTCTAATTGCATTATAGTCTTACAATTGACAAACAGTTACTTCTAATTGCATTATAGTCTTGCAACTGACAAACAGAATAGTCTATTTGCATTCTTGTCGCACAATTGCCATTATATGTGCACAATTATGAAATGTAGAATCTCTCAGTAAGGACTAATCCTTCATAATTTAATTGTATGTTTATATTTCTACTAAATGCAATTGATGTGTATCCGTTTATGTTCATATTAATTATGCCATGGAAGACATGTTGCCTATTTTCAGGAAATGGATGCAGAAGCAAGTAAAACGAATGGAATTCAGGGCCAAAACTCTGTACCTAACAGTGAAGGTTATTTTGCAGAGGCTGAGTCACTTGAAGAAACTGAAAATGCCCCATCTTTACAGATTTTGGACAGTAGAACAGAAGAAATTACTGAGAAAAGCGGACAGTTTGAGTATGATGGGTTGAACTTCCAAAATATGAGCATTGCTGATTTAGCGGAGAGAGAGTTTGCAAAATTTGAGGAAGCAGAAAGATTTTACTGCAACTATGCTCTTGCAATTGGTTTTAGCATAAGAAGAAGTCGTTTGAGACGTAGTGAGGGTGGGGTTGTGATGGGAAGACAATGGGTGTGCTCAAAAGAAGGGAGTAGATCAAAGAAATGGACGAATAGAGATAATATGGTTCGTACACCAAGGAAAGAGACTAGAGAGAATTGCCACGCTACATTTGCTGTGAAGTATTGTCCTAAACGGGATGCTTATATTGTGACTAAATTTGTAACGGAGCACAGCCACCGACTTGCTAACTCTCGTGAGGTGCCTTTTCTTCGTTCGCACCGGTGTGTTACGGAATCTAACATAGCACAATCTATGTCTATGAGAAAAGCCTCTATTAAAACCAATCGGACATACGACTATATGGTTGACCAAGCAGGTGGATACATGAAAGTGGGGTTCACCAGTAAGGATCTATATAACAGGATCGATTTCGAGCGTCGACAAGTAGTATTGGATGGTGATGCAGAAGCAGCAATAAGCTACATGAATGCCTGGACATTAGGAAAGTAAATTGGGTCCTTATACGTGTAAACACAAATGTTTACATTATTAAGGTCTCGTATTACTCTGTTTAGGACAGTCATGTTCCACAAGATTGTAAAATTCACCCATAATCTTGTAATATCGTAATTTATAATTATAAAGATATGTAGTATAATATTAAGGTAAAGTGAAAAATTCAGAAGGTAAATTGGGTCCTTATACTTGTCAACACGGATGTTTACAATATTAAGGTCTCATATTACTCGGTTTTGGATAGTTATGTTCCAGAATATTGTAAAACCTATCCTTAATATTGTAATATCGTAATTTACAAAGAGAAGGAGATCTAGTACAATATTAAGGTAACTACGGATATTAGGAAAGTAAATTGGGTCCTTATACGTGTAAACACAAACGTTTCCTATATTAAGGTCTCGTTTTACTCGGTTTTGGACATTTATGTTCCATAAGATTGTAAAATGCATCCTTAATCGTGTAATATCGTAATTTACAAAGATAAAGACATGTAGTACAATATTAGGGTAAAAGGGAACATTCGGAAGGTAAATTGGGTC